GTTTTATGAAACATGAAGTACAGAAAAGTTCACCAAACAATAAACATAAAAAATGAACAATATTTACAAATTACATCATCTTGCAATTTACATTTTGACGACTTTTTGGTTTTTGTTTGCTTTCATTTTGCTTTTGTTTTGGTAGTCCCTCATGTGCCCTTATCTGTGGCTTGATCACACCTGCAGAAAAACAATGGAGATCACTGTTTGCTATTGTTCACCATTGTGGATTCATGTTTGTCCATCTCTGCCTTTTTCATGCTGTATCCTCACCATAACTGCTCCTCTTTGTGGTCCATGTCTAGCTTTCATGTCAAACCTTTGCATGACTGGTTCAGTTGCTCCTTGAGTGTCTGTATTACTCACAGTAATGTAGATCCTTTCATATAAGTACTATCTGGCAGCCTGTTACATGCCGCAGCACTTTAATAACCTGCATGGACCCACAGTGATGTGCATCATCACTAAGAGGATATCGGCAGGAACCTGCTCTCATCTGTGTTAAGAGATGTTCCTGGTGTTTTGAATAAGAATTTCACATCGTTTTATGTTTTAATCTTGATTTTTATTCTTTTTTCAAGACTAATATGTTCTGCTGTTCTGTGGGTAGTGTGGCTCAGCAGGTCAGTACTCTGTGCCTGTGATCATAAGGTCACTAGTTCAAATCCCATGGTCAGCATTTCCCTGTTGGGCCCTGGAGCAAAGCCCATAACCCCAAATACTGAGAATAGTTCACCCTGTGGCGAGAGGAAAGAGACAGGAGGTAGATGTTTAGTCCCTGAAAGGGACGATGCACTTTTTATTAACAACAAACAAAGAAGAGAGAGCAAGATCCGGTTGCCGCCAAGATAACCAAAAACTGTAACCGGAAGTTGAACAAGCCTTCAGAATAAGCCCTGAGAATTCTGATTGCTTATGAACCCGCTACAACCCTACATTTTCCAACTGTACGTCACTTTGGATAAAAGTGTTTGTTAAATAAATTTAAATGAAGAACCATTACAACTTCATAATTATGGAATTTTGGGTGAATACAAAAGAATAAACAGAGAGGTGGCTCTGTGATCGGTAGGTTACTGTTTCAAATCCCATAGCTGGCAGAGTGATTAAAAGTTATGTCCAGCAGGGGCCAGTACGAGAAATAATCATGGTCAGTGTGTACAATTACATATTACCTCCTGTGCAAAAGTCTTAGGCAGTCCATAGAAATGTTTAAAGCTGTTTATCCGGGTAGCAAGTGTACTTTGGCTTAGAACAAAACACACAATTTAACATTAGAACATGTGCAAATTAAGAGTAACACAATAAAAACTAGTAATAATTTCTTCTGTTTTCTAAAAAGTTACTGACATCTAGTTGGATGGCTAGATGAACACAGCTTCAGATCCCAAACCTCTCCTCAGGGGCACCTCAGCCGTTCCATGATTTTGTTAAATTTCACCAACAGCTCAATTAAGTAATTAAATAAATTGGTTTAAAAAGTCAGTGACAGACTGACTAGCTGTATGAGGTGCGCTAGTGATCAAATAAAAAAAATACATGGCTGCACTGGACAGTCGCTGCAAATACTGGGATGATTTTAGCAGAGGTTCTGAAATGGCTAAGCTGACACACTTTGAGTCACGCCCGGCTCGTCCGATCCTCGTGTGTGCCACGCCCCCCTCGTTACCTCGTGTTACTTCCCGATTGTGATCACCTGTTGCCTGTTATTTTCTGCTTGTGTTGTGTATTTAGTCCACGTCTGAGTTAGTTTTCCCCAGATCGGTCATTGATGTTTGTCGCTGTCTGCCCTGTCCGTGCCAATAAACCCCTATTTCCGACTTCATGGCTTCGCTGCCTTCCTGCCCGCTGGGCGATCCTAACACTTTGACTGGCATAATATCATACTTTTACACTAATACGAGGATAATCTAAACATAATTTTCTTTGCCTGCCTAAGACTTTTGCACAGCACTGTACTTGAAGTAATAGTTTATGTTAATCTGGAGGATTAGAAGTTATGTCCACCAGGGGGCAGTGTGAGAAATCATCAAGTACAGCAAAACAATAATTCCACTCAACAATAGTCATTAAAGAATAACAATATGATCTGAAAATGGTGGTAATAAACTGAAGAATTACAGAATATTTATGAAGAAGTTCTTTATCTCAATTGTGACATTGTATAACAGTACATATTAAACAGTATATATTAAACAGCCAGTGCTGCCCCCAAGATGTTTGGTAATATTACATCTCATGTACGTTAATGTAAATTCTGTAACGTTATTTCCTCAGGAGCTGCACAAAGGATGTGCAGAATGACTGCAGGATGC